GTAACTGAGTTTATTAATACTGCATTGAAATTTTAGCAGAAAGACTATGAGAATATCTGAGTCATTTTCTGATGAGTTGAATAGAAAAGCTTTATCATCTTCATAGGTGCTTTTAGTGACATCTCTTTTGTGAGTTCAAAAACTTTTATCACTTAATTCTGTACTGTGCTCAAGAAAAATGAGGTTGCTAAATATTTGAATTATGCACATTGAACCAATCGTCCCATCTGTAATGCCAAAATACAATGTAGGTGCTAATTCCTGTTACTCTTGCCCTAAAATAATCATATTTGCCTAAATGAACACCTCTAATAAATTCAGGATTATACTGTGTGTGTATCTTTTTCCTAGTTTATATTTTGACAAAAGTGTCCATTTTTTCCGAGTAAAAATACTTTCACATTTGTATTTGTATTATAGCTAATAACTCCTTGTTATGTTATTAACATGAAAAAACAAATTTTATATGCCTTGCAAAAAGCAAATTACAATGAACTAACATTACCTTCTTGCTGTAACAAATTACTATAAACACAGTACTGTGGCTTAAAACAAATTCCACCTATTATTATCTCAAATATACATAAATTCTAAGTCTGGGATGGAAGATCTAGATTTTCTAAGACCTGAAAAGGATCCATTTCTGGCTAGAGTGTGCCCTCTTATGGAACTTGGGCTCTTTTCCAAATTCATTCATAATGTTGTCACTATTCTTTTCCTTGTGTCTGTAGAATGAACACATTGTTTCTTTGCTGTGTGCTAGGTAACAATTATTTTCAGCCCCTAGAGTCCTCTTGCATTTTTCTAATGCCTTCCACAATTTTCTAACCAGCAAGAGCAAGCTTTTGCTCCTTTCTATCACTAAGTAGAGAAACCCCTCCATTTTCAAGGGGTTATGTCATGTGGACCACTCAGGTAATATACCTATTATAACCATATCATTCCTGTTATCATCACATCCTCATAGCTATACCACTTAGTATAACAATCAGTGAACTGATATTTCCTCATAGTTAAAGTTTCTCAAAAATAGGTCACGAAATGTCAGGATGTGGAGTTTTCAAAATTCTACCTACTGCATATATTTAATTGCATTTAACTCTTTCTATAACTGGGAGAAGTTGGCAAAGAAAAGTACTTATGAGAACGGCCTCTACATTAAGGTTAATATTGTGGATCCACCAGTTCCATTCTAGAAGATTTTGATTTCTATTTTACAAAACTGATATAATAACAATACTTTTTAATTGTTTAATGAAAACAAAATATATTATTTTGGGTATAATTCAATGCTATCTATTAATGTTTTACTTATCAATTCTTACTCAAAAATTTTTACATAAAATTGATTCAACAAATATTTCAACAAGATATATGCATGTCAAGTAGTGCTAAACAACATATTTCAAAATATTTGTTGTTATTATGACTATTTTTACAGAAATTTTCCATAATTTTAGGAATTATTTGAAATACAAAAACAAAATTTATAGCTATGTATCTAGGCAACTAGGCTCCATTGGGCACATAGCAATAAATAAATAATGAAGTATATAAAATGCATACATAGTGTTTTATATCATATAACCTGAAAATCTCTAATTTTATTTTGCATTCTTTATGTACCAAGAGTAACATTTCCCTTTGAATGCAGTAACTCGGTTAAGTTATGGTACTTCACAAGTTGCTTTAGATTTTATAAAATTATAGTGATAATTTTTCAAAATAATATTATTCCTGTACAAATTAATAGTTCACAGAATGACAGAAAAAAATTCCCTGCAACAGATAATGCAACTCCAAATGCTTTGACACAAATAGTCTAGATTATAGCATATCTAACAACTCCTAACAGTAATTCATTAGGACTAGGTGTGGTTCTGTATTTGATTTAGTACATCTAAATTTTATAACTTCATTGCACACATTTCCCTTTGGATGTTTCAAATTTGAAAAGAATCTGCCTCTTCTTAATAAGTTCGAAAGCCTGACAATGCTAAGCTAGAATTCGCAATGGCAGCAACATATTAAAAATTGTGACTTTTTTTATTGGACCTCCAACTTAAAGTCATTCTTTCACTTCATAGGAATATAAGATAGCCAGTGAGTTTCATTATCATAGCAATCCCATGTAAACTGTCTTAAATAAATTTTCCCTCTGCATATTCTTTAAATTGATTACTTCACCACCATTGAGGTCCTTTTTTTTTTATTAGTGCAGCTACTTTGTTTTAATCCAGGTAGTGACAGTTACTGAATATATTTTAAGGAACAAAGAAGTCTCAAATTACTCAATGTCTCTGTTCTTCCTCTGACCCAGGAGAGAACAAAAGGATATATACACTTTCATAAATAAAGGAAAATAACAGTATTCTCACAAGTAAGAATTCTTTCAAGTGATACATTGAAAACACTAGGTTTATGGGGTTAACTAATAAAGTACACTGGTGTGGATGATTCTTAAAGAATATTATTATTAACACATTTGATTGCAAAAAAGGGGAAGTACATGCTATGCTTCGTATCTATTAAAATTATTTAAAATACTTACAACACATGGTGACCGAATGAGAAAAATCACCAATCCATATGGGTTGAAGTCTACAAATATAAAAATTCCCTCATGTGTTATTTATGCCACTAGGTTTTAGATGACTTTTAAAAACACTCATAAAAAATTAATGCAGCCTCGGTTTTGGAAAAAAGGAAGACAGAGATGAGCTCCTATATCTGCAATAGCAACTTTAGAATAAGTGAATAGGTTACCTTTGAAAATTGAAGTTAGTAAAAAGTGTAAAAGTAAAAAGTTCTGTCATGTGTTGAGATGTAAGAATTATATGGCTTGTTTGGATAAGGCTTTGAAATCCACATCAAGTGCTTTTCGCTTATGAATAAACAATTCCTTCAGTTGCTCAGTAATCATTAACTTCACTTGTTCTTAGAGATTTCCTCTGAGGAGCACAACTGCACCTCAGAATTTCTGCTATGCTTTTTTAAAAATTATTATATTATATAATTATATTGGTACATTTAAGGTATACAATATATTGAAATTCATCATTGGAAATTTGCACCTTTGCATAATCCATCTTGGTTCTTATTTTTTCCCCATCTCCCTCCCCTCCCTTCAACCCCTCCTTATCTACAGGATGTAAAGTAAATTCACTTCTCCAAATACATTTTTGTCCACCCATAGGTGCAAAATATTAATCAAATGGATTGAGTTTATAAGAATTAGACTATACTTTTTCTTCTTCCATCATTTGTCAATCGTTAATCACAAGAGACAAGTATGTACATGTTACTTTTAATTTTAATTTAGGCATTCATAATAACAGTGCTATTCAGCTTTGAGAATTCAAATTACTTTGAAAATATTCAGCAATACCGTTCACTCTGTTATTTTAACTTGTACAAAATGGAATAAAGTACTCAGTATAAAATACAATATATTAACACATAAAACTAAGCACCTTTGTTTAAAATGTTACATAAAAGGTAATAAGTGATTTTTAAACATGACAATTTATTGTTAGCCTAAATATAGTAATAGTTTTATAACACTTCAAATTCAAATTAATGTGAAAAATTAATTTATACCTTCATTTAGATCACAAACCAGATTTAATTCATCCAATGAAGTACCTATAGTATTATTTTTTTGCTACCAATGAATAAATATTCAGCATGAATTATGTATATCTGTTTTTCTACTTAGCAAAACTTATAGTACCAAAATGTTTATATTTGTTTAGTTTATTGATGGTTAGGTTCTAACAAATGAATGAGTCCCATGAGGCTTGTTTCCTTAGATTTGCAATTTTTTATTACTTTTCAAGTTAAAAAAAATATATATGTATATACGTATATATGTGTATATATGTATATATATGTATATATGTATATGTGTATATATGTATATATGTGTATATATGTATATATATGTATATGTATATGTATATATATATATAGAGAGAGAGAGAGTACTTTAGTGAAAACACACAAAAATGTCCATTCCTTTTTTATGGATGTTTAGTCATTGAAGATGAATGGGTGAATGTGAATATGGCCAGTAAGATCAAACACTAAAATATTCCTGGTTTTTATCTATATTATAATCATGTACATTTTAGCAAAGTTGTTCTAAGCAGACATTTTCTATGTAAATTGAATAGTAAACACATTAAAATAAGTCTCATTAAAAATTTAGCTTATTTCTTCCTTCAAATTCTGTTTTATTATTCAGTTATCATATTTTGCAAATTTATATTTAAAATTTTAGGTAAAGAAAAGTAATTTATTTAGGGGTTATAACATGTTTTGTAAGAAGACCATTTTACATCTCTAAATTCTATTAAGCTATACTTCAGATCATTGAAAAATATTAAGAAAGCAGAGTAAATACTTGCTTAAACTTCTTACAGTTGACTTCATTCATTTACAACCTAAGACAAATTTAAAGAGAAACAAGGTAATATTTTAGTCAATTAACTTTCATAAATTATGCAGCTAGTGTATGCAGTTCTGTCATTTAAAAGAGCTGAAAGAAATCTTTTTTTTTTGTACCAGGGATCGAACTCCTTGCGCTTGCACAGCAGGCGGCGAAATCACTGAGCTAAATCCCCGGCTCTGAAAGAAATCTTTTTGAAGTTGGGATCCTAATACATTTTTTAAAATGGCAAACAACAGTACTGGGAAATTTTAAAATCACTGACAACATTGTGTCATGCCGAACAATATTTCTATTGAATCAATAGTGTAGCATGATACCATTGTGTAATTCAAACAAGCTGAACATTTGTGTCTGTTTTGATCATTAGTGTCTTTCAAGAAGATAAAATAAAGTAATAGAATTACTACACCCTTTATTTTTCTGCCACTCTTCTCTTTAAAGAAAAATGTGACAGGAGTGTTTGCACATCTGACTTGTATACCGCCTTCAGCACACTGTATGTTGGTTTAGCAGCAGTTGCTGACTATTTGATTTTATGTTTTATCAGGAGCTACAACCATAGAGAAATATGACCTCAGAACAAATCTATGGATCCAGGCAGGGATGATGAACGGCAGGAGGTTGCAGTTTGGTGTGGCTGTTATTGACGACAAACTCTTTGTAATCGGAGGTCGAGATGGCTTAAAGACATTAAACACTGTTGAATGTTACAATCCCAAAAGCAAGACTTGGACTGTCTTACCGCCAATGTCAACACATAGGCATGGTCTAGGTAAGATCTCTTACTTTCCTGATATTAATCTTAGCAACTTTCTTTATAATATAAATGTATATTGATATTCAATGTTAATGCCATAAATTATTGTGGGTTCATTTCAAGCATATTTACTCTTGAAAATTCTTGATATGACCCTGTGTTGATAAGTGTAATTTAGACAGTTGGGAGAGATGCTAAAGACAACATAGTGAATGGACCTCAGGTCATCCTCAAAGTTTTCGGTCTGATAGTCATCAATTTGAAATGAAAAATAAATAAATAAATGAATACCATAGCCCAGAAAAACAAATAGTCTGTGAACTAAGTAAAGCTTATAATGCTCTCCCTAGAGCTGCATAGGCAAGTTTATCTATTTTTGAACATAAATGAGTCCACCTTGAAAAATCTGGGGAAGAATGACATATTAGGTGGCACCATGAGGCAATCTGATAGGATTCATCTGTTTTCTACTACAGAAGAACCTGTAGAATTAGGAGAATTATATATGGATTCATATAATTTGTCATGTGAGTATTGAATTTGCTTTATATTTCCACACCTGGGAGCCAGCATGTAAACTTAATCTCAGTTTCTTGATTTACCACCAATTTAAGGCTATTAGGTAGAAAAAAATCTAATAATGATAATAATTGTTAAATCACTTCATAAATTATCTTTTCGATTTTTTTAATTAGAAGAATTTTATTGAAGAATAAATTTCTGAACTTTCACTTTATATCATGGGAATTGTTGGAAGTAAAAATTACTAATTTCAAAGACCTGACATATGCGACACAAGTGATTAAAGGCTTTGTATATATTTAGATTATTATATTACAATATAATATATTATAATTAATAAGGTGATGATTTGCTTCAAATCTTGTCAAACAGACTGTTGACGCCTTGGCCCCAGTTCTGAGTAAGACAGCAAAGATGATTGCCTTGGGCTGTTCCTCAGTGTGTCTCTCTGAGTCCACTGTAATAATACATGTGAAAGAGAGTTTGTGTAGAAAATTAGACGAGGCAAGTATCCAGACATCTGAAATGTAATGCAGTGTTTCCTACAGGCTTTAGACAATAACAACTCTATTTAGTAGTTCACAACATTCATATATAAACATATTTCTTTTTTATTGTTACTTCTGTATCATTTCACTACAAGGCGGATCGTGTCACCTTCTTATTTCATGTTGCTGGCTTTCTCTGTGTTTTACTTTCTGACTGTTGCTTTCTTATAAATGGTCTTCTGTATCTCAGGATGTGAACTGATTAGGTTTATAGCAAAATCATAGCATACAACATATTTTTGAGAACAGTTTTCATCTCAAAGTACATTGTAGATGGCTGACAATGCCTTGTAAATAGAAAACTGCTTTTGCTTTAGATAGTAATCCATGATGCAATCAATCAAAGCCAGAGTCATGAGCACACAGGACACATCTCTGTGTTCTGTTTTCTGTTATGAGTCAGAGTACTTCCTCAAGAACAGTCACATTCTTACACAATTTGTTGAATCACAGGCAGTTAGCATATTTGTCATACTCAAATACAATAAACATCCTTGTCCTCAGATTGCTGCTCCTCCAACGCAGTTATTGCTCTTTAAATTACCTCCTTGTGTCTCCTAGGGACTGCTATTGCATCAGTGTTGACATTTCTTTATTTAATACATTTTATCTTTTCAATTTTATTTTTTATTTTAATTTTAATTCTTTGTAATAGATAACTTTAATATCCTACCCAGTATTTCAAATTATTTTTAATCTGCATGCATCAGTTTTTATAATATGGATTGTTGTGTTAATCTTAATTATCTTTTTAAATTTTTCACTATTTGTACTTGGTAATTCATTATAATTGATTTCTTTTTCCTAATGGTATGAATATCTGCCCCTATTTCTGTGACATATTAATAGACTTCCCCAATCTCTGTGAAGTTATTTATTCTGATTTAAAACTTTTATCTACCTCTTTCATTTATTCTTTTGTTGTTGCAGGTAATCACCTTTCTTCTCTTTTGGTTCCTTCAATTCTTCCTCCAGTTCTCTCTCTCTCTCTCTCTCTCTCTCTCTCTCTCTCTCTCTCTCTCTCTCTCTCTCTCCTATTTTTACTTTCTCTATTATTCCTCCTACTTTTGACTCTCCTCCCCTCCTTTTCCTTCTCTTTTTATGCTTTTTTCTGTTCTTTTTCTTTTTCATCCTATTTTCATCAAATTTCTTCTTCCTTTTTTTATCTTCTAAAAGTGTTTAACAATCATTATGAACCAATGAAAATAAATAATTTTATTTTATATAGTTATGTGCTTATTAAATCTATGATATCAAGGGAGTTATATATCTGACTGGAAAGTTAAAGTAATTAAACTACAGCTTTCCCAATATAGTACATATTTGTATTTTATCACATATATTTTCAAAACACACAATTTATTAAATATATAGTTTTCTTTACATTTTGTATTACATAAAGTTGAGTAAGACGTTACTATAATACACTATTTGAATTATGTCAGTTGAGGAGAACTTGATACACACTATTATAATGACTTTCTTTTGGATATTTGACATGTCAACTACCAAAGTTAAAGGAGGAAAGGTTTATTTAGCTCACAGTTTGTAGAGTGTCAGTCCATAATGCTCCAAAGCAGAGTAGTTTGTCATAGAGGCATCACAGAGGAGAAATAGTTTGTGGCAAGCAGAATACAACAAAAACAAATAAGAAGTGACTTTAACAGTGTCTATCTGCCCCTTTCATCTTATCCAGACTACTCAGGGTGGGCAGCACTCACTCTCTTAATCCTAGTGTCCTTGAGTCTAGCATTGCACCATAAATCAATTCCAGTGTCACATATTTAAGTTTTTCTTTGTTTTCTTGAGGCAGGGTCTCGCTTTGTAGTTCAGGCTGCCCCTGAACTCACTATGTATCCCAGGCTGGCCTCAAACTCACAGCAATCCTCCTGCCTTAGGCTCCAGGATGCTGTGATTACAGGCATGAGTCACCACACGGGGCTCACTGACACATATTTAAGATCAAGCCACCTCTGAAAAAGCCCCACCTATGACCACATGAGGCTTTTTGGGACATCTTGACACAAAACCATAACACTTGGCCACTTGCTTTAGCATGAATTTTCAGTATAATATTGAATAGAAGTAGCTTTCAATCTTTCTTTCTTTTTCTTTCTTTCTTTCTTTCTTTCTTTCCTTTCTTTTTATCATGAATCCTCTTCTCAAATTAAGGAAGGTCTCTTATATTCTAACTTCACTGATTGAATGTTTTTGTCATGAAAGGCTGTGGGATTTTCCTTCATCCATACAAATGAGCATATGGTTTTCAGGTATTAACCCATCTCATCTTCATATATTGTATTTCATTTAATCATGGAATACAGTCCTTTATATACAGTAATACTTCGGTTCACAAATGCTTCTGTTCGTGAACAATGCTGTTCACGAACAGAAGCCTTCAGCAAAATTTTGTTTCCTTTGGCAAACTCCACCTCAGGTGATGAATAGGACCACAGCCATATTCCCAAATAGAACACTTAAAGCAGCTATCTTTCCCAGAAGCAAAACAAGGTACCACTCTATTTTCCTGTATTTTGTTTCTATCATTTTTGTGGAGGATTCATCATTCATATTCAGAAAGGTATGTCTCTGAAATTTTCTTTTCTTCATATATCTTTGAGTGGTTTGGACATCAAGGTAATACTGGCTTCATAGAGAGTTGGAAAGTGTCCTTTCCTGTTTTGTGAAATAATTTGTGAAATATTGGTGATAACTACAAAGCCAAGTAGAAGAGGATGGGGGTAAAACATGGAAAAACATCACAGCACTCACTGTTCTTAACTAGAGGAAGCTATTTTTTCCTGAATAAATCCTTCCCAAATTGTTAAAAAAATCTTTATTTCCCAGAGTTATGACTTTGACATTTTTGCTGGTTTTCTCATTATTTTATAAAGTAGTGAACTTTTAAAGACCCTTATGGTGCTATTCCTGTTGACATTACTAAAATAGGTTATTTGTACATGGATACAGTATCATATACTAAATGATATGAGCAAAAAGTATCTCTTCAAGATGTGATGGTTAGATTAGAAAGCTGAGTAGAAGTCCTGCAACCTGTTGAAACCAAAAGTGGTTTGGTATTTAAATTGAGGACAACATTACATCCTTGTCCAATTCTAGTGAGGACAAAAATATTTTCATGCAAGGGCACTGGATGCCCCATCTTGCATCTCTGCCTCATCCTACTCTAGACCTGTGAGGTACCTCTGTTTTACCCTATCCTACAAACTATATATTACTCAACCTTTGTCAAAGCAAAACAAATGCAAAGCAAGAATCTGACTTACCTTCTTTTCTTTGCTTATTTCAGATTACTAGTCCCTTATAGGGAACACATTATTTATTCCCTCTACTGGATTATAAAGGCCATAAATTTTTCCAGGGGTAGGAAAAGAGATAATCTGACTCACTGGCATTTACAGTAAAAGAAGAGCGCTGTGCCCCATGAACATTTATATGTGCCTGTATTCTTAAAATAAAAGAAATGGTCAGATACTGGGGTAATGGGAGAAAATGATCAATATCTATTGTTCATATGTTACTTGATTAAATACTAAAAGTGACCCTATAATACAAATACTATTATTGCTATTTTAAAGATACAAAAATTATGAAGAAAACAGTCAACTTTTCCAGTATCACTTCATCTTATAAAGAAATCCTGGGATTCTAATCTAAGCTTCTGTGATTTAAAAGTCATATTTTTAATAGAACATTGTTAGCAATATGAAGGTAGATAACAATAATTCTTTACTTATAAAAATTTCATGTTTCACTTTTATCAATCAATACCTACTGTACCAACTAACACATACAAAACAAAAGATAAAAGCACTCACACACTCAAAGCACTCCATTCCTGAAGGCTCAAATAACACGAATAGCATAGACAATCAATTGTGGAGATTTCTATACGATGAATTTGAGGCAGGTTTTCACCACAAT